ATGGTTTGCAATCAGTGTGTCAAGAAAGCGTTGCGTTTGGAAGACTGGTTCACCGTCTTCTGTTTGCACTTCATGAGATCGATGAGCCAGAAGAAGTTGTGATTTGGCTGGAGAGCGATTCAAGCTCCGCATTGCAACTTGTGAGATCCATGGACGTGCCACGACGTTCACGACACATTGAAATAAGATTGCATTGGTTACGAGAGCAGATGAGAGAGGGTTTGTTGAAATTGAGACACAGAAGTGGTGTTGAAAATCCAGCAGATCTTTTCACTAAATGCTTGAGTGCTAAAGCTTTCTATAAACACCGTTATGCTCTTGGGATTGTTGTACCAGATGGTTTGACAGCTGAGTTAGCAGAACTTCGTGAGCTGAGTGTGTTGCAACAGGTGTTGACTCAGGGTTCTTCAATTGCGATTGTGGAACTGTGTTGTTCGGAACATTCGAACTTGAGAAAGGTCTGTGAAGTTTCAAAGGTCCCATACATTGGTGTAGTTGCTAAGGCGCAGAGTTCTGGAACGTTGAGTCGTGTAGCTGTTTGCATTCGACAGTGGAAGAATTCGTCATGTCCACCTTGGGTGCATATTCATGCATCGACTCCTTGTGGAAGTGGAAGTCCGCTTCGCAATTTCAATCCGGACTCAGTCACTGAAAAGGACCAGGAATGGGATGAGATCATCAACGCGATTGGTGGTTACTTCAAACATGCAGACTCATGTTCGTTTGAGCTTCCAGAACGAAATACCATTTGGTCCCGACCTGAGACAGTGAATCTTTTGGAGAGTTTTGACATGAGGCATGAGGCTTTGGTGAGGTTGTGCAAGACTGGGTGTCAGAACAAGGATGGTATTCCGATTGGAAAGACATTGAAGTTTGTTTCCAATTCAGCCTGGTTTGCATTAAATCTTCACTCCAAACTCTCTACATGCACATGCCAGACTCACGCAGAACTTTATCAAATCAACTATACTGAAACAGCGTTTTACAACCGAAAGTTGGCAAGATACATTTTGATTGCGGTCAAACATGCTTCGAAGAAGAGTTGAATTTGCGTTTGAAAGGGGGGCCCTGTGACAGAGAGAGACAGAAGTTGGATTCACGTTTCGTTTCATTTCGTTTCATTTTCTGTTTGCACGTTGTTTTCAAACAAACGTTGCCAAAGACAAACAGGAGTTTTCACCATGTTCCATTTTGTGCAGAGTTTTGTTGCGCGATGCTGTAAGATGCAGTGTGTGTGCGCAGCGCAGAACAATCTGAAAGGTTACTGATCCTATCACGATTGTGATGGCGGTTCGACACTTCGTTTCACGTTCTAAGTTGATTGCTCCTAAGAGTTTAGCCACGGTCTAGTGCTTTTTCACTACCGGACGCGGTTTGGTTTGCAGCCATGGCCAAGTCTGGATGGACAGAGGAAGATGAGAAGGCTTTGCTTGGTCTTCTTCAGAAGAAGTGGCACAGTGAGAATTCAGGGTCAGGCTATGCAGCCGGATCCAGTATTTTGACTCCTTTGGAGAGTCAAGGAGCAATGACAGATGGAAGCAAGCGACTTCGTGAGGCTCTGGATGATGATGAATTCGATGTGATTTCTTCGGCAGCTGAACCTTTGAGTGCACAGTTGCCTGTGATGCCTATCCCAATCTTTCCTGGGATCGCCGACAAGGTCCTTGATCAGCTTACTGCTGATTTGGTGCCTGAAGGCATGAGTTTTCGAGATTGGAGCAGAACGAAGTTTGCGTTTGGAAAGTTTGCCAATGAAGGCAAAACATACCGTGAGGTATATGTCGATGAGGAGATGGCAGGATATTGCAAATGGAGTATGTGTCACCTGGGAAACAAGAGTACGAGTCCAATCGCAAAGGATTGGTATTCTTTTCTCTGCGCATGCAAGGTTGTGGAGGACTCTGGAAAGGTTGGAAAGCCAAAGGGTTGCTTCACTGGAACTTCAGTGCAGAGGCAGCTGGGTGATTGAGAATATCCTCATTGGTGCAAAGGCGAGGAAAAGACTATGAGCTGGTTGTTCATTGGGTGGTGGACAACGGGACAATTCGTATTATATGTATTGACCTGTTAAGCTTTAGCGATACGTGCTGAAGTCTGGATGGGTTACAGCGTATACCTATGGAATGGAGTTCATCTCAAAAGGGGGTGTGAAAATTTCCGACATCCGTGAGATGAATCCATTGGTCTTTTCTGCATTGGAAGAAGTGAATTTGGTTTTCATCTTGATGATGAGCTCAACCGTGAGGGTTGACATCGTATTTGCACGTTTCATGTTTTGCACGTCTTATTGGAGATGACGAAACCCAACAACGATATACTTTTCGTCTTCTTTGAGTACTTTGATTGCACGGAGAACATCGTGAGGATTTGAATTTGTATAGTGACATGGAAAATCAAACCATTTTCCATACCTTTTGCATTAGTTGTCGTCGACGAACTGCACGAAGGAATCGTGAGAAGATCGTAGAATTCATTTTGTGACTTCGGAAGAAGGAACTTTGTTTGACATTGATCGGAGAAGTTTAGGTTGCTTTGTCTCTCAAAGATGATAGCGAGAGCAACATTCTGAAAGGCATTCAGAACTAGAGTTGCTAACAGATCTGAGGGAGACATCATGAATCATGTTTTGGTGCTTGAAATGTTTCAACGTTTTTCAAACACTCAAACTTATTTAAACAAACAAACCATGTCTTGATGTAAAGACTTTTTGTGAGGACATGTGTTTTTGATCGCTTTTGTGAAGTTAGCAGAAAGATGCTGACTGGCGACTCCGCATCATTTTGTGTCAAGGCGTGACACACCAACAAGAACCATAGCGACATGAGCAAGACATCTCTCCTTGTTGCTTGTGTGTGTGTAAAAGTGGCTGAGCTCTGGGAGTGGTTGACTTGGTTGCGTGGACGGTCTTAGTGAGTTAAGGACGACGTCCTGGACGCTGACCCAAGTAGGTTTCGAAGGCTGGACGCCTTCCGCATGTGCCAATACGTTTTGCGTCCGAGGCGTGGCCTCGGCCAGGCCTTGCCGAGCCTCGAAGTGCCTCGATTGCAGGCTTTGGAAACACGGGACCTCTTTCATTAAAAAGAAAGGGAAAGATTGTCATGACCAAGACAAGCAGGTACACGGGGCTAGCTTTGGGTTCGTTTTTGGCACCTGAAATTCATATGATTTTTGGAGACGGAGTTGGGGCCTCCCTTGTATACAACCGATGACTTGAAGAAGAACATCTGAGCGGATTCTGAGAGAATGGGGTCGAATATGTACAGATCGTCTCACTTTTTTGTTTCTCACTGCAATAGCTGGTCCAAAGGATGCAAAGAACTACAAAAGCATCATTGGTCTCCTTCTGTACTTGTCACGTGACAGGGTAGACATCATTTGCAGTGTCAAGGAATTGTCCTCCTTCATGGTTGCTCATCTGTACTGTTGACTCCCACCGGTTAACCACGTCTTAGCTTTATTGTTTTTGTGTGACTATCCGCAGAGTACTGAGGTGACTCAGAATGGCTGAGGACTGTCGACCCCAACAATACACACACACCACTTTGACTTCCTCCCTCTCTCCTTTTTCTGTTGGTTCGTCTCTTAATTCGTTTGTGTTGTTGTTTCGGCTTGGCTGTTCCGTTGCTTGGTCCCTCTGGCACTTACTTCTTATTCTGTAAGAAGAGTAGATTGTAGCCGGCCGGAGCCATGGACCAGGCTGCACTGCAGCGAGTTACACTGCGAACCAGTGGCACTCTCTGCTGGACAGTCTGGAGCGCCCGTGAGCAGCAAAGTCTGCGCACATGGATCGTAAGTTTCTTTCTCGGATCAGCGGTCAATCACCTGGCCCACTCGTCGGGAGAGTGGTCTTTTTCTGGATTTCAGGCTGACTCTCTGTTTTTGCTTTGTCGCAATGCACTGCAGGTACTTTGCTGAGACGAAGACACTGGGAGCACCTGAACAGTTCTGCAGATATTTTTCAGTTTGGCGCCGTCGAGACACTGCATATTTTGATGGTGAGTCATCAGCTGCTGCAAGCATGTCGATAGGCACAACAACCAAGTGCTGACCATGCTGATAGTGCCTGGAACGGTGTTCTTCTTGACTTGGCACGGCAGTCATATCCACCCTGAGACGCATAAGTTTTTAGTGGCTGGTTGCGGATGGTCACTCACCTAGCTCCGTGTGATCGCGCTGTCGTCGCCACTGGGCCGCTCCCCGCAATGGGGGGGCACAAGACACCTGGCCACTTCTGTCTTTCTCCTGCTCGTGCTTACGCCCTCTGGTACTTGCTCTTTCTCTGAACTTGGGCACGTGAACAAGTACTCGTTTTTTTTGTGGTCGGCGCCCGTTGCCTTTCGGCGGGTCGCACTTGGGACTCCCGAGTGGACCAGCAGGGATTCGAACCACCACCGGCAGTCTGTCAGCGCTGGCAAGACCAGCGCCAACTGAGCCATCGGGTCGCCTCACGTGAACAAGTAACTCGTGAGTGGACTCTGAGAGGCTGGGTTAGTCAACAGTATAGTAAACGCGACTCTTGTTGTCTTCCTGGCAACAACTTAGTTCGCATGTCTCACGTTTCTGGGTGGCTACTAATTCGTTTGCTGCATGTTTTTGAGTTTATTGCGACACAGTGGGTTTTTACCACACTGTCCTTGGCAAATCTCTTGTGGTTTTTCTTGTTGGGCTCTTGCTCCGTTCGCTGTTTGCTTTGCTGTCTTTCGGATGGTGAGACGCAAATCTGGCTGGGGGATCTGCGTCTTGCCTTGTGTTTTTGGTTTGTGTTTTGGTTGTTATGATTTGCCAAGCTGTATCTGACGACCGGCGTCCATGTAACAGTTTTCTTACTAACAGCTTCTTCTCGTGTAAGGACCGAGCCTTAGAGCGTGATCGGCCATACCAGAGGAAAAAAAGTCCTCCTTCATGGTTGCTCGACTTGTGTTCAGTTCAGCATTTGCGCAAGTTGATTGGATGCCTCAAAAGCTCAGGAGACATGGGGATCAAGCTTGACTGGCCTGAGCATGGAGCAGGAAAGTGGAAGAAAGGCACCAAGGCTTTTTGGTTGCTTGAAGGATTCACTGACGCAGATTGGTGTGGAAACAAATCAAGTCGAAGAAGTGCAAGTTGCTCAGTGTTGTGTGTCAACGGGTGCTTTGTTTTTGCAAGCAGCAGGTCCCAGCGTGTCATTTCACTCAGCTCAGCAGCATCTGAACTCCACAGTATGATTTCTGGGACATGTGATTCACTATTTGTGAAGAACTGTTTGGAATTTCTCCTACAGGTTCAAATCGAGCACCATCAATTTACAGACAACTCTGCAGCACGTCAACTGATTTCCAAGGGGGATTTCCAAGCAGGGGGTGGTGCGCATACGCCACCTCTCTGCAAAGCTGTTGTGGCTTCAGGATTTGGTGCGTTTAGGTGAGTTGGAACTTCAGTGATGTTGGAACAAAGAACCTCAGCAAGTCCAGGCTCTACTTTCTCCTTTGCGGCATTGGTGCAGTTGATCCAGTGACGGAAGAACACATTGGGCAGGAGGAGTTTCATGCTGCTGCAGAACAAGATGAAAATCGAAAGGCTTTGAGCAAACTTGGCAAAGCCACCAAAAGGATCAGTTTGATTCTTGGAGTACAAAGCCTTGAGTCTTTGGCGGCAGAAGCAAAAGTTTTGAACATGTGTCCAAAGGACATCAAGGCGGTCGAGCGTGACAACAACAGTTCTGCTCTTTGGATTGCAATTTGCTTGTTGTGCTTTTTGGTGGTGATTCTTGCGGTGGCATTTTACTTTGTTTGGAAGAGATGCAACAAGCGTTTGAGTGAGCAAGAGGCAGTTGTGAAACAGATGCAACAAGATCTCTTCCACTGCTGAACCAAGTGGCAGATGAAGATGGGCATATTGCACAGCAGGAAACAAGGATCAATGAACTGCACAATCGATTGATGATGCATGATGGACGCTTGGTGGAACAGAGCAATGAACACTCGATGCTGCATGACTATGCGTGTGGTTTGCATTATGGTTTGGCTGAGAGCGGTGGATTTTTGCGTTTTGGCTTTGGCCTTACAACTGACCAGTTTACAAGTTTGGCAAGTGCAAATCTGGTGGCTCATGGAGCTATGGGATCAGAACAATATCTACGCTTGGTCAGGCAACGTGCCAGAGCTGAACATGCAGAAACAACTGACATGCCAATTTTCTCATGGTGCAGATTCCAATGGGGAAAATGATTGTGAACAAGGTGAATCCGAGACCTCAGATAGCGATGAAATGGATGATGGTGGAGAGCAGCAATCCTCCACCTATGACGCAAGTTGATAGAGGATGTGAAGGAGCAACATGCCTTTGCAATTCAGCGTGGAGATTGGAGAGATGCGGCACAAATGCAATCTCTCATTCTGGCCATGCTTACTGCAGTGCGTGGTGGAATTGATGGAAGTCTGGTGAATGAGTATAAAGAAAGATCAGCAGACGTTTTCCTACGACTGGCAGAAAATGCAAGGGCAAACAGATTGCAGACATCCCTACTCTATGGCAAGTTTGAAGCAAAACTCAGAAACCGTGAGCGTTGAGATCAAACTTTCCTGGAAGTGGAAGTCCGGCGATGAGTGCTGGAATTTTGCTGAGAGAGAATGAAGCAGCAACAGGAGTTAAAACGTCCTGCTGCTGAGGAGGAGTGCGTACAATTTGTGGCAGCACTCATGGATGACACAGCACAAATCTTGATGAGAAGTGTAATCAGTTTTCACCACAGTGGCATGTGAATTGCATGACCATATCGTCAGGCTTTTAGTGCTCGAGAAAAGTCCGCTCCCGCTTGCACAACCGTGTAAGCATGGGTTCTCATTTCAAGGACGCGGGTACTTTGACATGTTTCCCATATCCTGGAACCACGGGTTCCCATTTCAAAGACTTGCGGGCTCCCAACGGTTGGAACGCATGCTTCCCAAACTTGGAACCATCAGTTCCCATTTCCGAGAATGGCGGGTCTGAAAAGGTTGGAATTTATTCGTGCGATTAAACAGTGACTTGTGTAATGGCGCGTTGGTGTCTTTGTTTAATTTTAATCGATCGGGGACAAAATGTCTTTGTGCTTGGCGAATGGAAATGGCAAAAAAAACCTGAAAAAACAACCTTTGTTGTGTTTAACTAATCAGTGCCCAAGTTTGTTTGTGCAGAACCATTGCGTACTAGACCGGCATGAAAACATGTTGTGTAAAAGGGTTCGCTTTCTTTTGCTTAACGGGTCGGAATACATGGGTTTGAAAATTGCAACCTTTTGTAACCTTCTCATGTTTCTCAGGGATCCACTTGAAAAACATGTTGCGTTGAACGCGCAATTCTTGTTTCTGCTCAATGGGCAGGGATAACACGGTACTTCTGGCGAACAACAACCATTGGTTTTTCTATGTTTTTCTGAAGGTGTGGTCGATGCCGGTGAAATTTTTCTCTTTGTTTTGCGGCGCCCGAAAAACGGTGACAGTGAACATGCGAAAATAGTAGGTTATTTTGCAGTGGCCCTCACCGTCGCATTGACCTATATTTTCCAGGCGCCCAATTGTTTTTGTGTAGCACAGCATGTGCGTAGGAACATGGCCATGACGACTTGATTGGCCGGCAGAAGTGTTGGCTCAGGAAAGCCAACTGAAAAGGCTGGGTTGCAGGAGCCATGGCGTTCCTCACCCTTCTGCTGTTGCCTCTTGCTCGCGCCGTGCTCGAGTCTGTAACGCTGCCCACGGAAATCGAACCTTTGGGAGCTACTGATGCCTTCGATTTCCTTAAGCAAGCCGACAGGCATGAGAAGCATGACAAGCATGAGCATGAGCAACATGAAGATGCCAGAGTCAGAAGCCTCCGACGACAGCGCAGCACTGGTGGAATCGCTTTTGGTCATTTGGGCTTTCCTCCTTTGGTTGTCAGCAGGCTATGATCAAGTGTAGTATCTGTTCTTATCAGTGTGACAACTGATAGGTCTCCATCTGGAGACTTGCTTGTCACATCAATTCCATCCTTCTTAACGGCGGTAGTCCTAATTTTGCTCGTATCGGTCACTTGTTCGGCGCTGCGACCGGGATACTGTTGACCTTCAAAGCCAGGTTTCGCACCTTTGGCACTTTTCATTTTGATTCGTGAAAATTGTTCAGCCATTTTCTTGTGTGTGCGTGTGTGTTAGTTGATGCTGCTCCGCTGTTCCTGTCATCTCCCTTCTCCCTCCGCCGCATGTTGCATGTTTTTTTTGTTTTTTTTTGGATTTGTTTTAGTGGCCGCCGTCTTTGGGCACTCACTTAGTTTTTTTTGATTTTGAGAAGGGTTTTTGACTTCATCTCCATTTGAAAGTTTTTCCCCGAAGTTGGAATGATCCTATGTGAGTCAACATCACCCTTGCACTTTAACGGCATGTGCAACTCACAACTCATGACCTGATCCATCCATGTTCACGAGTGAGCAATGTTTTCTTTCAAATAGCCCATGGAGGGCTTGTGGGATGCTTTGAGAGCGTCAGGGCAGGGACTCCTGGCTAGCACATTGCTGCGCCATGGTGTGCGTAGTGTTTCCGATGTCGCTTTGAAATCCTCCGTTCTGCAAGAGAATGGTGTTCTCCAATGGCAGATTGAAGCCATTTTGGCGGCGGGGCCCCAGCAGGCGGTGTCCCCAGCCCAAGTGAGGGCTGATTTGCCAGTTGCCTTTCAGGGGAAGAGGGCAAACCTTTCAGCGGCCTTAGAGGCTGCGCGACCAAATCAGCGGGCTCGCAGTTTAGCCGCCCTTGACGAAGATGTCTTAGCTCGGAGCACGGCTCCAGCTCACGCGTCACGTCTTCGGACGTATCAGGCTGTTTGCAAGGCTTGGGATCTGGAGCCTTTTCCGCTCTCCAATGAGAACGTTCGAGCTTTCGCTGCGAGTCTGAAAGCAGGTGGATACAGAAGCGCTGCCGTGTATTTTCAATCCATTTGCTCACACCAAACCAGGCATTTGCACCTTCCTGTTGACTCGTTGCTTCGGCATGTCATTCGAGACTGTCTGCGTTCAATTTTGCGTGGACTTGGAGCTCAACGTTTAAAGGAGTCCTTCGACGCTATGCGACTCAATGATTGCTCTTTCAGTTTTGTCGATGAAGCTTTCAGTTTTGATCAAGTTAGCCACTGCCGAGATCTTTGCATTATCGGATTGTGGTACATGTTACGTGAGTCGGAGTTAGCATCAGCTCGGCTCAGTCATTTGACCTTGACTGACTCTGAACTTCGCTTGCTGATTCCAATCCACAAAACCGATTGCTATGGTCAGCTCTGTGAACGAGTGCTGTCTTGCTCCTGCAGGGTCCGACGACACAATTTATGCGTCTGGCATGCGGCAGAGCGCCACCTCATCAGGTGCCAACACAACCTTGGCGGTGGTGATGCAAGTAGGTTTCCATTGTTTCCCACTAGCAATGGACAGACTGCCAGCAAGCATCAATTTATCATGGCACTCAGGTCAGTCATTTCTTTTCTTGGCATTCCACTGAGTCGCAGGGATCCTTCAGGGAAAGACATTCAACGTTTCCACGGCCACGTTCTACGTGTCAGTGGAGCGCAGATGTTGTTCGCAGCTGGTGTGCATCTACAGCTCATACAGCTGCTGGGGAGATGGACAAGCATGACCATCTTGCGCTACACGCAGCAAGCTGGCCTCAATCTGCTGCCGAGCATCCCTGATGTGGTGCTGAACAACCGGCCTGATGTTGGTTCGCTGGCGATTGCGCCTGCCGTGGGCCCTCAAGTTGATTCAGATGCGTTGAGCCGTGCTGCTCCCAGGATCTCAAACGAGTCCTCCAGATCGGGCGCTTCTTCTTCTTCCAGGACCTCGACATCCGGCGACATCACTGCTTTGCGTGCCGAGCTTCAGATCCTCAAACAAGCAGTGATCAAGCCGCCTGCAGCATATGTCATTCGCTCCAGGTCCAAGATTGTCCACCTGGGCTGCCCGCATGAACTCAGCAACCCACCTAGCTCGTGGCGTTCACGGTGTGGATGGGCCTATGGTCAGGCAAACTTTTTGAGGGTCAGTGAGATTTCTGATCCCCTTAGGGCCTGTCAGAAATGTTTTGATCGGAATGCAGATTCCGGTTCCGATGTTCAGAGCTCTGGTTCGGGCTTTTCTGACCTGGAACCTTCTGATAGTGACAGCTCTTGATGTTCTGAAGCCTCCAGCTGGCGAGGTTCTTGATCGGTGCCAGCAATAGGCATCCACATTAACCTGACTCATGCAACTGATGTGGTTAAAACAAATGCGACCGGCCGACACGGTATCCCAGGTGCCAGTCCACTGCATGCGAGTTTACATTTTTGATGTCTTTCATTTTAGACCTGAGACTCTGCACATCATTGTGGTACTTTGGCTGCTCTCCACCAACTGGTAGGCAGGTATTTTGTTTGTTTTGGTTGTGCCACCCCACTTGGTTATTTTTCCAACTTTGG